TAGGGATTATTACCAGACTAGATTCTTAGGCATTTTCATACTTTTGTTGATCGTAAGGTAGAAGTGTCTGAAATGGAACTTAAACAGAGAGAAGGATATTTATTCCATTTAGAATAAATGTTATAATAAAGTATACTTTGCTGTAGATGTTTTCATATTTTTTCCAATTATCCATAAATGCATGAAACTTTGTTGATCACTATAAAAATTTACTTATTCAGGAGTAGTTTATTTTTGCATGAATTTATATTTGTCCATTTAACGACGTGCGCAATACCGCGTGTAATAAATATCTGGATATTTTTGAATTATTGCAACAAAATAACAAAAATATCGAGTTTTTAATGGAATTGGATTGGAGGTGTCCAATTATTTATGCATGTACAGCTAAACTGCAGTCGTATTATAACCGAAATGATTAAAACAATGATATACGTGACATTGGTTGTTTATATTAAATTATTATTATTGTACGAATGTGTTTTATAATTCTCACTTAGGTCAATCGATCAAATGATCGCCCTGATTAACTTTAGAGAAAGCATTATTTTCAAAAATTTACCCACAAATCCATGATCATTTATATCTCCGTGTAAACAATAAATTTCTGAAAAATAAATCCACTTTGTTTGGATCGATTCCGTGCACGAGCTATAATTAATTCAAATAATTGCAAAAATTGGAAACAACAATTCTTTCTTCCCAACTTCCGTATTCTATTGAAATTCTTCTCTACAGATTGACCAGCTTTCTTAACCAAGGAGAGCGACAGGCGACACGACGACGAAATACGGAGCTTGGATGTTGCAACAAAGTAGACAGTTCAATAAATTCGCGGACGAGATAAAGGCGTGGCTGTAGCAGCAGCCAGAGTATATAATATTGAAAGTCAGAAAATCGCGTTTGAATCTTAATATGGGGGAGACGCGGTGGCAGGTGCGCGTGCCTCGAAGCTGATAGCTTTGAGGATGAATGAACGCTGCTGGGAATTGAGGTTGCACACGTGCAACGAGAAATAAAGCTGCGTTAAAGCGACCTCCGCTTTTTATCGCATTTCATTGAAAAATATATGGCCGACGAAAGAGTTACTGTCTCGTTGAGTCTCCTGACTTGTTTCCTCTCGTTCAGTGTATCAGTCTGTTAACAATTTAATTGTTCGCTGTGTCTGTCGACTGAAGGCTGAAGAAACTCCTATGACTATCGTGCATACAGAACTTTCGAGCTACGGTAATCTCGAAACTCCAAAAATTGGAACTAAAAGTTATATTAAACCCATGTTGTCTCTTCTCGGCGAAAAATTCGGCAAAAATTTGTTTACTGGTTAAGTTTGATGTTGGCAAGTTCTTATTAGCTACTGCATACAAGAAACATTGATTGCGAATGAGTATAAGAGGGAACAAACGGATATTGCGATGGATAAAAGCAATAATTAAAGAACAAATAGAAAATTAATGTTTAAATGTATCGTATACTTGGTACGACGAAAAGTAACACAACTCGAAACCAGAAACTATTGTGTTAATCAAACAAACAATACAATTCAAATATGCTTTTCAAAGCGTACTTGTTCACAATGATAGTCCGTATAAAATTCATAGTAAAATATATTTGTAAGATATGCATTTTAATAGCGACCATAAATAAATAAATGAAAAAGATATATTATATAAACCAAATAAATATAAGCATAAAGGCTGAAGACGTAAACAGAAATTGGAAACACGAACTAAACAAGATGAATTTGAAATTCACTCAACAAAAAAAAAAAAAAAAAAAATATCGTGCAACATTGTAACAATGTTGAACATCGTTCGATCTCTCCGGAGTACAAAAATGTTTCGCGTGCGTATACAGAAACATAGAGTTATCAGTCACGGATGAAGAATCGCAGAATTTGGCCGCGATTAACAGACGAAAACTATCGTCGCGGAGATGAAAGTCAGTTAACCTGATTATGTTACGCCGCGAGTGATTACCACCAGCCGAAACGTCATTGTTCATTCGTAATCGCGCCTCGACGTGTAGAATAGTTTCGCACCGCCGCCGATTCCGGTTGTAATCCGCTTTGAAGACACATGCAAACGGGGATTTGCAACGTTTAGCATTAAACCGGGACCTCTTGATCATTGCGTGGGCTTTGTTTGCAACAAAACTTGCACAGTATCGGACAAAGTTTCC